ACATACTTTTAATAGTAAGATTTTACATTTTACTTATTATTTCATCACATTGAAAACACCATTAATAAGGACGTTTTTAACTGAATTAAAATTTTCGGGTTTGATTTGGTCTAAAGTAATATGATTTGGTAGATTTCTGTTTTACGTTTTATGTGTCCAATTATTATTAAAGTTTGATCTGATCTGATTTAGTCTGAGACTGAAATCGATCTAATTAAAAACATCTTAAGATTAAACAAAATTAGGAATTTGTAAACATATAAAGATTTCCTAATTTAGATCAGGAATCGATCTGTTTCAAAAGTGACGGAATCTAGAGTCATTTGTTTCCATATCAATGTGCAATCAAAAATAGAATCCAATAAAAATAAAAGGCACGGAGTATAAAAATAACTAAATAATTGTTATATATGATGGATGACATGGCAGGATTATGTGGCGCTTTGTATGCTCTTAAACAAAAATAGGAATTTGTAAACATATAAAGATTTCCTAATTTAGATTAGGAATCGATCTATTTCAAAAGTGACGTAATCTAGAGTCATTTGTTTCCATATCAATATGCAATAAAAAATAGAATCCAATAAAAATAAAAGGTACGGAGTATAAAAATAACTAAATAATTGTTATATATAATGGATGACAATTATGTGACGCTTTGTATGCTTTTAAAAAGTTCCACAATATATATATATATATATATATATATAGGGGATGATTCAAAATTTCAAATACAAAGAGGTCTTCCCATGCAAAGTGAGAATTAATCTCGTGCGTTCATTTTGAACTAAATTTGATCAAAAACGCGGTGGCAATTTCGTAATTAAAACGAAGTTTTTTGCCATCACGAAAAAGTGCAACAGAAACACGCAAAAAGTGCAACGCGGTGAAGAAAAAGTGCAATTGTTCGCACTTTGCACGGGAGAACCTTTTTTTATTTGATCTCTTCCCTATATATATATATATATATATATATATATATATATATATATTGATTTAACATTTCACCATTTTTTTATTTGATCTCTTCCCTATATATATATATATATATATATATATATATATATATATATATATATTGATTTAACATATAGAAAAAGTAAATACCTTTTGTAAAAAGATATGGAGCCGTTCTTCTTTCTTCACATGTAGGGCTACTTTTGTTTTTATCAAATTTAAGGTTACATATCCACTATGTATAATTGTTGGCACGTTGTTCAATAGGAAAATCACTCTACGTTATAGTTTAACAATATGATGTTTTGACCTCTATATTACTAAAAAGTAGACAATTGTCAAAAAAGTGATCTTTTGTTTTAATTTCCGAAAATGTGACTAATAGGCTTTGAACATACTAAATTACCCCTAATTTGTAGTTACTTTATATTATCGTTACGGTACCTGCCTCAATGACATCCACTAAAGTGACATCAATTACAGTGACTAACAGGCACCACCGCTGGCGGCGGCAGATTTTTGTCGCTGCTGCCGCTGCCGCTGGCGTATTATCACCGTCGTCGTTCATAGTGACACCTCTGTAGTGACACATTCACAGTGACATCTCCATAGTTACTCCGCCGTAGTGACTCCGCCCCACCAACCACAATTACTCCGGCCGCATTTACTCTGGTGACAACTGGTCACCACCGCCTGCCAACGACTTAATCCCTGGTTCCCAACCCTAGCACCCCACCTCCAGGCCATCACCACCGCCGAAACCACCGCTGCCACCAGTCACCACCATCCCACCACTGCCTCACTCTCCCAATCACCATCTCACACCCCATACCCCCGTTGCTCGCACCCAATGCCCCCCACCACCCCAAACCTAACCCTAGACACCATAGCCAACAATGCCCCCACTACCCCAGATCTAGCCTTAGCCACCTCCGCCCATCATTTCCGCCTCCTAAAGATAAATCTTAGCTTCAGTCTCGTAATCTAACCGCTGCGCCGCTCATCGCCGAACCCTAGCTGCTGCCATCACCTTCACAACGAGATCTATTTGTTTCACCTTTGCTGAAGAAGAAAAGAGAAGGACAGATCGCGACAGAGATGATAATAGACCTGGACCGGGATCTGTGCGGCTGCGGCGGGAGCGACGGCGGGCTGGTGGAGGCAGCGGATGGTGGCTATCTTCGCGGAGCAGCAATAGTCGGCAAGAGGCAAGCTAATCGATCGCAGATTTGGTAGATTGAGGCGGAAAGGTGCGCAGATGTAATTGATGGAGGCGGAAGAGTGCATACGCTATTATTGAGGGCATTTAAGTCCGTTTCAACATTTTTAATCACTTTTTTGTCTTCACGAAATTTTGATCATATTTTTGTCCATCTAAACTCCATAACTAATATTTTTGCCATTCCTTCAACAAATATAATCCTACAAGAAAAGATCTCCGTCCATTTTGTGTGTTTAGTAAACACTTATCTTTTTACTTGAATTGAAATTTTCTGGTCTGATCTGAACTTGTTTGAACTAGTCTGAACTGGTTTTTGACTGAAAATAGTCCAAGTTAAAACATCCTTACACGGCGCACCATTATGGGGAGAAAACGTGTAATAAAACCCTCTAAGGGCACTTTGGTCTAGCGTTTTATAATAAATTAGTAACAATTAATTACTTTTACATGTTAACGGTTAAGGGGAAAAACTAATTTACTATACACATTTTCTAACCTGCCAATTCAATCTGCTAGTCAAATCAGCAAATCAGATTCGCTATTAACTACTCGCTCTCTGGACTTGTTAACCGCAAAATGCCAAACAAGGCCAAAGATTTTTAATGAATTTCCAAAATAATAGCACTAAAAAATACCTAATATTTAGAAGTGTAAAGTTAAGAATAATTTTTAAAATTCCCTATATAGGAGTCATAATTTGTGATGGGACAAAAAAACCCTCCTAGGGATCGAAGTTTGGTTACCGGATTGCCGCCACCGTTGCCGGTAAAACGGTAATGTTTTGTCATATTTAGGGAATAGGGAATACAATATATAAACTCCTACTTAGGAATCTTAATTACATTTTAGTCTTGCTTAATGCAATTTCTTCTAGCACTTTTATCCAATTGTGTGCAAAACGTTTAACTTCTAGTTGTAGTTCAAGTGATTTAATTTGCAAAATGGTTTGATTAATTGTGTGTTTCTCAACTGAAAATAAATTGTCATCAGGGGTGGGCAAACGGGTACAGGAATCGTGGGTCAGTTCGGTAATACAGGTTCGGTGCTGGTTAGGACCGTGTCCTAATTTCAGAAAACTCAAACGGTTTTGTTCGGGCGGGTCTTTAAAAGCTTAGAGATCGAATGGGTCTTAAAATTTGAAAGTACGAGTACCCGGACCGACCCGTTTTATAATGTTATTTTAAAAAACTTTATATCATTTAACAAAATATACTAATAAGAGAAAACTTTTCATGTTCTTGTGTCTAGACAAAGGCTTTCAATTAAAAAAACTTGACAGACTATTAAAAAAGTTTCAAAGTCCATATAAAATCCTAATTATTTTTCCTAATTCCCTATTCCAAATGCATCAGAATTTCTTTCTTTAATACGTAGCATTTTTGTAAGAGAAGACTTTTTTAGTGTCACAGAAACTTTCAGTGACACTAATTTGGTGTCACTGTAAGTCATTTTTCTAATAGTGACTCTTACTCAATGAAGTGTCACATAATTATTTAATTATCTTATAATCTTAACTTTACTTATATTTTGAGATTTAATAAGCTTTAAATTATTTTCATAGACAAATGTGTATGGTAACTAGTTTAGTTTCTTTTGACTTTAATTTATAGTGATATCTTTTTAGTTTATGGATAGTGATATCTAAATTTGGACGAAGCAACTAGCTTAGTTAGTTGTGGAGTCACCCGATTATCCCGGAGGTAAGAAGTTCAATTCCCGTCGGGAGCAGTTTGAGATTTTGTATTCCCTCTCCTGGGACCGCCAACCCCCGACCCCCCCCCCCCCCCTCCCCCAAAAAAAGAATCTAAATTTCTACATTTTAAATTTTGGTGTTATTTAATTTGGGTGGTTTTGTGTTGTTTAATTTATAGATTTGTGGTTAGATATTTTGTTAACCAATTTCAAATGTTTTGTTAGATTTTTTATTTTGAACATGTACTATATTATGATGACATTGATACTTAATTAGCCGGAGAATGTTATAACTATTGTATACTTTGTTAGCATAGCTGTATTTTTTTACAAAAAAAAAACGAGAACTCGGACGAAACCGACCCGTTTCAAACGGGGTGGATAAGGTCCGGTTCCTATTTTAAAAGTTGGAATATCCGGACCAAACCTACCCATTAAGTAGAACCGGCGGTTCTTGAAAATTTATCAATTACCCGGATCGATCCGGACCATGCCCACCCCTAGTCTGTAACATACGAAGTACTTTTTAACTTCAAACTTGAAAGAAAGGGGGGGGGGGGGGGGGAGGGGTACGAAATAGAAACATGGGTTTTTCGTTTAAAGTTTAATTTGATATCATTATTGTAAAAAAATGGTTTAAAGTTTGAGTTTCTTTAAAGGAAAATTAAAGAAAACAATAAATTTGTGGACTGTAATTCTTCCCAGACCAGACCAGACCAGACCAGACCAAAACAAACCCGACCAGACAAGACCAGACTAAAACAGACCAGACCAGATCAGACAAGACCAGACCAGCCCAGATGAGACCAGACCAGACCAGACCAAATATTATTATTATTATTATTATTATTATTATTATTATTATTATTATTATTATTATTATTATTATTATTAGGGGTGTGCACCGGTTCCAAACCGGATCGGACCGTACCGAATCCGATCGGAACCGTAACCGGATTTTCCATGATATGCAAACCGAAAACCGGACCAGATGTATTCCGGTTTTTACTCGGAATTAAACCGGTTCATCCGGTTCAAAACACTATATATATATATATATATATATATATATATATATATATATATATATATATATATATATATATATATATATATATATGCATCTATACACCAAGCTGAGCATCATATTCCCATCCAAACTGTTACCAAAGATTCTCAAAGTTCAACATGGCAACTAATAACAACATACCTGTGATTCTTAGCTATGTCACAACTACCTTCATGCTCATTTTTCTTCTTTCTGTCACCAATGCTATAGTTAGTGAGGATGAAAACACTACACTCAACACCCAATCCCTCCTTCACCCACTTGAAACATATGAACTAGATTGGGACAAAGATATTGATCCCACTAAGTTGACTTTCAAGCTTTCATTCACATGGCCTAAAGGCTATTGCAAGACTAAAGGGTCTGGATGCGAAAAAGCAACCGACTTGCCTGACCATTTCACAATTCACGGCCTATGGCCTATCTATAGAGCTAAGTGCACCGACTCCACCGAGGAGTTCAGTGTCGATCTGGTGAAAGATCTTCGAGATCGTCTTGATCAGAATTGGCCAGACTTGAAAAATTATGGGAATCCAAGTAAGTATGGAACTTTTTGGGATCATGAGTGGGTGGGTCATGGCAAGAAGTGTGCCTTGTATAGCGTGGAAGGTTATTTTAGGCAATCTCTCGATTTGTATGATGCCAGCAACGTTTTACAGGTTCTTCAACAAGCAGGTAATATACAAATAAACTAGAGCAACTTAAATACTGCGTACATATTATCTATTGAAATCTAAAACGCTTTTTCACGTTTAGGCTTTGTCTATTCCGATTTAGGCTTTGGCCTCGACGCCTTGTCATGCCTCACGCCTTGTAGAACACTGTTAAACATTATTAATTCGCAACTAAATACATGCAGGAAATCCAACAAATGTTGAGGATGTAAAAAAGGCATTCCCCGGAAGGACACCCACAGTTTACTGCAAAGATGGAAGTGATGGAAAATATTATTTCTACCAACTTGAGTTTTGCCTTGACAGCAATGAAAAATATGAAAACTGTCCTGAGCCATTGAGGCCAGATAAAACTCATTGCACTCCGGGCAAAGAATTTAGTTATGGTGCTTAAATAATTAATTTCCACTACGAATATATATGTGTGTGTAAACTTGAATAATCTAAACAGTCTTGGGATGGCTAAATATGTCCATCAAGCTAAGATTTGGCTGTAGCTTAATAATAGAATAAGCAATCCCTGTAAGGCAGTAGGGCGGGTATGCTGCCCTAAGTACGTAAATAATTGCAACTTTGCATTAAAATAAAGTGTTGAGTTTGGTTTCAACTTTACATCACGCAGCTTGAGTTACAAGTATTATACTACCTTTGCCAAAGTTGACCGACACGGAGAATAATAAAGTAAAAACTGTGTGGTTAGGTTTGTGCAGAAGAGAGAGTAATAACAGAAACCACAAAATAAATAATTAAAATGGAAAGTGGCAAAGTTTTTTGGAACGTCTCAAAAAGGAAAGATGACAAAGTTTTAAGGGACGGAGGGAGTATTGCAGTGCAATTTTGCACTAGGATGTTTTAATTGGACTAAAGTTTTATTATCTATTTTGACTTGATCTGATTTCATTGAGTCTATTTAAGTTTGATCTGATCTGATCAACTGGCTGGTCAATATTGGTGTACGTGTATTTTATTTCACAACTGTGGAAGATTAATATGGTCTGAATTTTGAATTCCGTGTCTGAGTGGTTGTACTACATGGAGTGATTTTTAGTAGTACTCCCTCCATCCCTAAATGTTCTTCCGTAGTACAAATGACACACAGATTAAGAAAGTGAGTTTTGTGTGATGGAAAGTTGTGCAGAGGAAAGAAAAATGTGTAAGAATTGTTGTGAACCACAAAGTCTTTACCAAAAAGGAAAGTGAAATTCTTTTTTGGACTGACGAAAAGGAAAAGTTGGAAGTATTCTCAGGGACGGGGAATAATAAGTAAGCAAAGAATTGAATAACAACAAAACTATCCATATCCCCTTGAGACGCAACTTTCTTACTGAGCCCACTTCAAATGTATCGTACATTTTCTGAGATTGTTCAATCACGGAGGAAACTCGACAGGTTTCAAAAGATAAAATATATTGATTTCAGACTTGTAGAATGATTAAAATTATATAAGGAAGTGTCAAATAAGTTCACGTAGTGTAACAGAAAAGTCAATTGAGTTTGTGTACTATAAATTCACTCGATCAATCCTGGAACTATAAAAAACACTCATAATTGATATTGAAATTGTTACATTTTAGCACATTAACATTAAAATGAAACAAATACGTACCAATGATATAAATAAATGTTTTAGTCGGCAATATTATTCAAATTTCGGGCCTTTGGAAAAAGGGAACGAGATTGTGTAAGAATATATATCCATAAATTTAACTCCGATTTTGACCGGGCACATAATTCTAGAACAAAAAATGTGACAAAAGTTACTCTCAATTGTTACATTTCAGCACATTAACTTTAAAATGAAACAAATAAGTACCGTACATTAACTTTAAAAACACTCCGTATATATTTTTGCTCATGCTCTCATTCATGATTCAAGCGTCGGAAAGTGTGTAAACTTTGTTAACTGTCTCGAAATTAAACATCAAATATATACAAATTATTAGTAAAAAAATATTCATAGATTTAACATTAAATGTTAACAGAATGACATTTTAATTATGTATATAATGAAAGTAGACTAATTTATTAAGATATATTAAGATATACGTAGTATTAAGATATGAGTTACTCCTCCTATCAGATTAACTTTTTAGGATGGAACCCCGAGTTTTAACATAGTATCAGAGCCAAACTGATTCATAATCATGGTGTGGGCCCCCGAGTTTTAACATACCTTCTGCAATCTGACTTGTTGTGGTCTGTCCTGGTCCTTCTTCAGTTCTAGACTCGCCTTGTTCATTCCAGTGGTTCCTCAGATTGATCAAGGTTTGTTCCAACTTTTTCTTGAGTCTGATTTTCTTTGCATGAGATTCCTATATCTCCTTCATCATCTTGCCTTGGTTTTAATGAGAGGGCTTAATCAAAGATTACATGAATACTTTCTTCCACACATTGTGTGCGCTTGTTTAGGACTTTGTAGGCTTTGCTATGGGTAGAGTATCCAAGGAAGATTGTCTCGTCACTTCTTGCATCGAATTTGCCAATATTGTCCTTCCCATTATTGTGGACGAAACATTTGCATCCAAATGTTCTTAGATGACTACTGTTGGGTTTTCTCCTTTTGAATAATTCGTATGGTGTTTTCCCCAGAAGTGGACGGATCATGGCTCTGTTAATGATGTAGCACGTTGTGTTCAGAGCTTCTGCCCAAAAGTTTCTGGCTAATCCACTGGAAATCAGCATTGTTCTAGTCATATCTTCCAGTGTTCTATTCTTGCGTTCCACAACCCCGTTTTGTTGGGGGGTTCTAGGGGCAGAGAAATTATGGTCTATGCCTCGTTCCTTGCAGAATGCATCAAATAGTGAGTTGTCAAACTCGGTTCCATGATCCGATCGGATCTTAATTAGTTGCAACCCTGTTTGATGCTCAACTTTCCTTACAAAAACAACAAACTCATTAAACGTATCTTTCTTACTTGCAAGAAAGATAGTCCAAGTATATCGTGAAAAGTCATCAACAATAACTAAAACATATTCTTTGTTTCCCCGACTTCGGACTGATGTTGGACCACACAAATCCATATGACTTAGTTCAATGGGCTTGCTTGTGCTCACAAAATTCTTTGTTTTAAAAGATGATCGAGATTGTTTTCCGGTGGCACAGGCGGAGCAAATATGATCAAGGGAATATTTTATTTTAGGTAGCCCGACTACCAATTCATTATTTTTGAGTTTATTTATTAATGAAAAACTAGCGTGGCCCAGCCTTTTATGCTAGAGTAGGGGATCATTGTCAATAACGCTTAGGCAAGTTCGACTTATGCTTGGCAGCAAGTCGAGATCAACTTTATAGGTATTTTCAAGTCAATTGCCTTCTAGTATTACTTGCTGAGATTCATTATTGACAATGCGACATACATTATGATCAAAAACTACACTGTTACCTCGATCGCAAAACTGAGAAATGCTAAGCAAATTAAACTTTAGACCCTTGACTAGGAAAACATTGTCTATTGCATGGTCAGGTGACTTTCCAATTTTTCCCACAGCAATGATTTCTCCTTTACTGTTGTCTCCAAACGTCACCTTTCCACCACAAAATAGCCGTATGGAGACGAATAAAGATTTATCTCCTCTCAGGTGCTTAGAACAGCCACTGTCAAGGAACCAGTGATTGTTCCCCCTCACTCGGCGTTGTTCCAGGATTAAGGTTTAGTGCGTGGAACCCAGACCTACTTGGGTTCCATTTTGTATTTGTTTGAGGAATATTTACTAAAATTAAAGCTTCTCTCTAAGGCCTGTTGCCGAGAGTGACATTGATACCTAAGATGACCGTCTTTGCCACAATGCCCGCAAATTCGGCTATCATATGTATCAACATATTTGGTTTTCCAATTTCCGAAAAAGTCTTTGCCCCTTTTATAAAATTCTTGGTTAGGTGTTTGTCCATAACCCGTTTTGTGTCTTTGAACCAACTTATCGATCCAGGTTGGTCCAGTTCTAGATTGCCTTTGATACGGCCTAGAACTGGTTTGTCCTCTAGTTCTATTACCATAAAAGGGTTGGTTCTGAAAACTCGGTTTTTGATTCATTTGAGTGTCTCTTGGAACATATCCGAGACCAGCAGTCTCGTTTTCCTTTCTTTTGTACTGAGAGGGTCCAGTTCTAGAATGCTGTCTAGACCTGGTTCTCACTTTGGTACTATATGGTTGGTATTCCGGTTTGTTTTTGAAATCTTATCTCTCGTCCTCAAGGCGATTGAGATGATTAATGAGCAAGGCAATGCCCGAAATTTTTCTTAGAAGTTTTTCTTCATCATTAACTTGTTTATTCATACTATCGAGCTTGAGTGAGCAAATGAGATTATCTTGTTCTAAAACCACTTCACTATACTTGAGCCTTTCATCTATTAACTCTCCCACTTTTGTTTCCAGCCTTATCTTGGCTCTAGTGGCTTCCTCGAGTTTAGACTCAAGTTCGGTGATTTGTGATTTAAGATGATTGTTTTCAGAAAGACTTTGATTTAGCTCGATAGTTAATCTTTTAAAAATTTTCCGAACCTTGCCTTTAGAAAGGGAATCAAATTTAGAAAGAAAGCTTTCCAAGTTTACCTCGAAATTCTCTTGGTCGGATTCTTCATCGAAATTAGCCATGAGGCACAACCCTGCATGATTTTGGATTTTTTTTTCTTCTTCTTCTTCTTCATCATCGGATGAATCTCTCCAAGCTGCCATCATTGCCTTCTTGAGGTCTCTGTTGAACCCTTTATCTTCACAGGACCGTCGATGAGAACTGGTCTTGTTCTTGTCGTAGGTTCTATCATTTTTCTTTTGAGGACAATCTTTTGCCCTGTGCTCAAAGGACCCACAAACAAAACAACCTTGGTTATTAAAAGATTGAAAACCTTTCTTACCTTGCTTGTTCCGGTTGCCTTTGAATTTTCGGTACATCTTTCCGAATTGCTTGGCAAACATGCTCATTTCGTCTTCCGATTCACTTCCAGAATCTTCTTCTTCCTCTCGAGCCTTGAGAGCAATTCCTCGCTCCTTCCTCACATTTTCGGCATCTTGTTCTTCTTGTAGGCCTAACTCATATGTCATGAGCGAACCGGTCAAGACTTCTAGCGTTATGGTGGAGAGATCTTTAGCTTCTTCTATAGCCGTAGTTTTGGGCTTCCATGCGGAGGGCAAGCTTCTCATAACTTTTCTCACTTGATCTTCCACAGTAATATCCTTTCCAAGTGCTGAAAGCTCATTTATAATATTAGTAAAGCGTGTAATCATATCCCTAATTGACTCTTTAGGTTTCATCACGAACAATTCGTAATTACGCATAAATATGTCAATTTTGGATCTTTTTACACGCGAGGTACCTTCATGCGTAACCTCGAGTAAATCCCACATTTGTTTTGCAGATTTGCATCCAAGAAAACGGTTGTGCTCAGCCGGACCAAGTCCACAGATCAAATATTTCAATGCTTGGGCATTATGCTCGAGTTTACGATAATCATCACTAGTGAATTCAGATTTGGGTTTAAGAACAACCTTACCTTCGGAGTCCACCTTAGTAATGACGTTATCATCTGCCTCAATTACATTCCATACCTGATAATTCTCAGCTTTGATGAAGTTCTCCATTCGACTCTTCCAGAATTGGTAAAATTTGCCGTTGAACAGCG